TTGTCATTGGGCTGATAAACCCTTTCTCTGCAGTATTTCTGATTTATTCTCTTCGTTCTCCTTGCAGGCTCCATGGGAAGTGCTTTCCCAGATGGTTCTGGCTGAAGTGCCTAAGCAGTTGGTGTTGTTCTGTAAGTGGCAGGGATGGCCACCCATGAAACTGACGGAAATAAAGAATATTGCAGCCTGACCCTGGCCACCCGTGTCACTGGGCAGAGGAGAGCTGCCTGCACCCATGCTCTCCCTTGTATGCTGTGAAGCGCTCAGTGCCCCGAGACTGTACTGTTCACACTAACTCTCATACCTGCTTGTGCTCTGAATCTTTGATCTTTCCTGTTCCTAATCAGAGGAAATGTAAATACAGAAAAAAAGACAACTGCTGACAATTTTTGTCACAGAAAAATAGACCTTGTTGGTTTTCCACCTTGCAACAGTGACACATCATAGCACACGTCGTTACTTGACACAGCCCATCCGCTGCTTGGTGTCAGAGTGGGCATGTGGACTGAGCTGCTCACGCAGCACTGTTTCAGTGCTGAGCTTGTTAGAATGAGTATTGCAGTCACATTTGTTGAAATGATCCTAACCCTGTGTTCTTGGACAGTTTTGTTTTGTTTTTTTTCCTTCTGTCAAGCTGACTTGGGAATGGGGACCCTGCTGTCCTGGTTGGTACCAGAGTCTGTTGGTTGGGTTCCTGAGGTGTTTCCTGTTGTGCCTTCATGAAGTGCCAGTGTATTTTTATATGTAGAGGTTTATTTTTAAATTTCGGTGACCAACAAAAGTCTCACTAGCTGCTATGAGGAAAATAACTATCCCAGCAAAACCAGGACACCATACTTTGCAATCTTATTTTTAATCACATTTTCCTATTAGCAAAAATTGCTGCTTTGATGGCCTCTTTCTTGGAGCCATTGTTGCAGTTTAAGAACATGGCACTTTGCTTATTTGAGGGGGGATTAAAGAGGATTAATTATTAATTAGAGGTAGGATTAATGTGGTATGATTAAGTCACATTAATGTGACTTTCAAAATCCAGCAACTGGAAACATTGAAATAAAGATGCTTTGAATTATTTATTTGTGTCCTAGAAGTTACAAAATGAAGAATTAACTATCTGTGGAACTCCAAAGAGGTGTTTCCTTGTCCTCAGAAGTGTCTATTGTATGGTAAGGGACTGCAGAACAGGCGTGTGATAGCAAAGCACGGTTGTTTTGAGACAGGAGTTGATAGCTCAAGAGATAAAGAAATTTAGGCTTGTCATTGCACTGGAAGTGGTCATTACTTCCCATTTCATAAATAAATAACCTGCTTTGACATACATAACATGTCTGAACTTTTATTTCCTTTCTGAGTTTTTGTTTTCCAGCAATGTGGTTATTTTAGTTTATGGAAGGTCTTTGCTGTAGTACTATCCAGGTGGTGATTCAGCATCTGAGTTGGCCTAGATTGAGTGTGATCAGCTGAAAAAGCAGAGCAAGTTGTCCGTCATCATTAGTTTTCTTACCTGTTGATCACCAAGACAGCTGAATGTCTGTCTTGCAGCCCTGTCCTGCAGTAAGATGAACTGTTTCTTTACTGTGAAATGATGAAAGAACTAGTCTGTCCTACCAGGTAAGCCAGGAAATGGTGAGAATACACTGGAAGACTGCCCTGGTGATTCAGGCGGTGTGAAAGCAGAACCTGGGTTTGAATCCACACCCTCAACTTAGACTAGTTGTTCTGCATGGTATCTGCCATCAGACTAGTATGTAGCTTGTGCGTGAAGGGCTGTGGGTCTAGAACCACTGCTGAGCAAAGATGAACTTGTGCTAATTTTTTATCCAAACCGAAGTTTTGACCATGATGTGTTCTTCCAGGTTCCACAGGCAGCAGATAGTTATCTCTAGAGGAAGCTGAGCTGTCTCTTCTGGAATACTCCATCATCTAGCCTGCAGCACCCAGTTTTCTTGCACTTAGATTTTTGAAGGAAACCAAGCAACCTCTCTCCTTGAGTGGCTGCCTAAACTAAAATGTGTTACAAGTGTGGAAGAGAGGAAGGAAAACTGCCAGGTCTTTTCTGAGAAGCTGCACTGTTGGTTGAGAATATCCTTCACTCATGTTTTCAGCTGCTTACAACCTGTAGGGAGAGCTCCTCATCTTTGTGTTATGCATACGAGAAACCTAAGGCTGTTTTTTGTGCATGTATGCTTTTTCTTTTTTGTTTTTATTACTAAAGTATTTTGTAATGGATATTTACAGCAGTGGTTCTGAAGGCTCACCAGTCCCTTGTTTGGACCAAGAAATACCAATGACAGTGTGCAGTGAATGGTGCAGGCTTCAGTGAATGGTTTCTTTGGCAGGACATCAGAAGCACACTAGGGCTTTCCTTTGCTCCAGCCTCAAGGGGCAGAAGATGAGCTCTGAGACAGCAGAATGCATAGTGGGAATTCCATTTTGCCTCTCCTTTTTAAACCTCCCTCTGGACTGGCCATGAGGGGTGGAGTCACTGCTCTGCAGCTACCTGAGGTATCTCCAGGTGCTGGATTAATGGTAGGAAAGACCCCCTCTCTTTTGGGGAGGAAGAGGCCAAGATGTGGCAGAGGCAGATCTGAGGAGGTTCTTCCCCCTGCGTCAGTGGAGGAGAATTTGGAGGAGATGCTGTTTACCTGCAGCTAAGTTGCTGAAATGTGAACAAGCAAAGAGACACAAGTCCCATGGTGGTTGCTTGAGAACAAAAGCTGCACAGGTGTGGGCCCAGGTGAAAACCCATGGGAGGGTCAAGCTT